CCCCCAGGTCAAGCGGGCGGCGCGAGAGGGCAAGCCCCCGCCCCCGCCCCCGGCCGGCGTCACTCTGCAACCCGCCATGGCCGCTGCCGCCCAGCGCCTCGTCGCCGCGCCCGCCGCCGCAGCTTCGCGGCCCCCCGCCGCAGGCGGCCCAACCGCAGCACCCGCTCTAGCGCCCGCCCCCCTGCAGCCACAGGGGGCGCGGCTGTCTCCCGCCCAGCTCAGCGGCGCAGATGCACTGATGGCCGCCGCAGCGGCCGCGGCGGCAGCGGCGCAGCCGCATGGGCCTGGCACGGTCCCAGACGCTGGGCGCAACCCAGCCGACGCCGCGGCGGCGGCGGCGGCTGCGGAGCGCGTGGCCAGGTACAGCGCCCTCCGACAGAAGCGGCTGCTACGTGAGGCGGCCGCGCGCCGCGAACGCAGGGCGGCGCGTGCGGCGGTTGGCCGGCCGGCGGAGAGCTCCGATGAGGGCGGCGACGAGGAGGAAGAGGAGGAGGTGGAGCGGGATGCACGCGGGGGTGCAGACGGCGGTGTGGGGGGCGGCGAGGGGGGGCATGCAAACAAGCGGGTGCGCCGGGAGGAGTTGAGGATCGACCCGCGGCCGTGGGATGAGGTGATGGCGGATGAGGGGCCCGAGGTCTCGTGCGGCGACGACGCGGGCGGCGGCAGCGGCGGGGCCGGTCGCGATGCCGTCAGCGGCGGCACTGACCAGGGCCCGAGACGGCGGCAGGCTGGAGGCGCCGAGAAGGGGCAGGAGGGGCGGAGGGGGCACGGCGGGCAGCAGCAGGCGGCGGGTCAGCAGGAGGAGGGGCTGCAGCAAGAGGAGGCGGCCAGGCGGCAGCAGCACAAAGAAGATCTACGGGAGGGCCGCATCATGGCACAGTCCATAGAGGAGTGGACGCCCCTGCCAGAGTCATACTTTGACTACCCGCCGCCCGGCGCCCCGCGCCCCTCCCGCCACGCGCCGCTGGCGGCGCTCGCTGAGTCAGCGCTGTCCGGCCTCCGCGGCCGCCCGCAGCTCTCGGCCCGCGCGCGGGCGGCTGCCGCGGCGGGGCTGCCGGCGCCGGCGCGGCCGGCCGTGGATTCCAAGCGGCTGTGGCGGGGTATCGACGTGCCAAAGTTGGCCAACATCCCTGCTGGCAGTTTGTGGGGCACCCAGATCTCGGAAGACATGCGGGCGGTGGACAGCAGCAGCAGCGATTACAGCTCCAGCGGCGATGAGGAGCAGCGGGCGGCGCGGGACGAGGCGCGGGAGGGGGCGAAGGGGCTGGGGGCGGACGAGGAGGGCGCTGCCACGATCAAGCGGCGGCCGTGAGTTGATGGGGGAGGGCACAATTTGAATCTTCTTATGGTGTTTGTGGGGCTGCGAGTGAGTCGTTTGAGTCTTTTGGCGTGCTGGTGATACAGGAGCAAGTCAGTTTGATTGAGGCTGAGGGGATCGTGAGGGTAGGGGGTGGCGAAGGAGGCGATAAAGGCTCAGGGTCAAGTGCGTGGATATTGTATGAGCGCCTTGATGCCAAGCTTTCCTCCTGACATGTATGAGCCTCCCACTCTCTGTGACCACCAAGCGCCGTCAGCCAGCGCGTAACACACCCTCCTGGCGGATCAACCACCCCCCTGGCCCCACCAGGTTCTGGCCCGGCGTGGACGTCGACATTCCCCCTGGGGGGTGGCCCAGGGTCCAGGGAATACAAACCATGGTGGGTGGTGGGGCAACACGATAGCATCTCCCACCCCGCACGATATCCTCAAATTCAGACCTGATCAACCTCCCGATCACCTGGCCGTTCGGCCGTGTCGCCGCAGGATGACGTCACCGCCGCACTGACGTGGCTGGTTGACACCGTGGCTGAGGGGGAGGCCAGGGGGGAGGATGAGAGGGTGCTGGCCCACCAGATCATGGCTGGCATGAAGGTCGCAGAGTGAGCTGCGCCCTGCGCTCCGCAGGGGCCCTTGACGTGCTTTGGGGTTCAAACAATCCCGGGCTTGGGAACGGTGAGGGGGGTGTTACCGGTGTGGGGCGGGAGGGGGGCAGGGCTCAAGCAGCCTTGAGGTGTGACGGCCCCTGCTACCCTTCGCTGCAGTACTCCTTTGATCACCATCCTCCCAGCCAGCTCATGTGGCCCAATGCCCGCAACCCTGCCGCCATCTTCAAACTCCCTTCTTTACACAAAACCCCCGGTCCCCCTCTCGACCCCTCCCATGCCCCCTTCCCCCCCTCCCCCATATGCAGCCCCACGCTGCCGGTTGATCCCTACGCACACATCCCCAAGCCCATCATCTGCCTCGGACAGAACGCCCACGCGCGCCGCGACCGCCGCGGCGGCGTCGACGGCGTCCCCTCGGCCACCGCCATCAGGCAGGCGCTCGCCGCCACCCAGACCATCCTCCGCTCCATCGTAAACGACGCAGCCGCCGCTGGCGCCGCGACCGCAGCCACGGGCGGCGTCGGCGGCTCAGTGCCTGCGGCACCCGCGGCGGCGTTTGAGTACGAACCGCTTGAGGGCGGCGGCGCCGGCGCGGCGGCGGGCAGTGCGGGGCTGCTACGGGAGGTCCAGGAAATGTCATCACTCCCGTCTGGCGGCCGCCGCTGCGCGCCGTTCACGCGCACCGACCAGCTGGCCGCGATACTGCGCGCCGCACAGCCGCTGCTGACGAAGCTCGAGGCGGCGAACGGCGCGCGCGGCGCGGTCGGGCTGCCGCCGCTGATGCATGAACAGGCGGAGGCGGCGCTTGATGCGCGCGAAGTGCAGGAGGCAGCGGCGGAGCGCGCGCGGCGGGGGCGGCCGTACGAGCCGCCCTTCTACCGCCCGGCCCCGCCGACGGGCACGGACGCGCGCGGGGCGGTGCTGCCGTTCGATGCGGCGTTGTCTGCTAACGCCTCCGCCGCCGCCGCCGCCGCGCGCGCAGCGGGTGCGGACGAGCTCGCCGCGGCGGACGAGGCGATCGCGGCCGACGCGGCGCGGGCGGGCGCGATGGTGGAAGCTGCCGGCGGCGCGGCGGCGCTGGGGTTGGCGGGCGGCGGCGAGGATGTCGGTTTGGAGTCGATCCCGGGGCTTCCGCCGGCCGACATCGAGCGCGGACCGTTTGAAGGCCACTCCCGGCGCCGCGCCGAGTTGGAGCCGTCCGCGCCGGCGCTGGCGCGGCTTGCCGCGCGCGTCGACGCCGCGTGGGCGGCGCGGACCGCCGCCGACGGTCTCGGCTGGGACGCCGCCGCCGAGGCGGCCGCGGGTGCCGAGGCCGCGGCTGCGGCGGAGCGGCGCGCGGGGCTGGACGCGCGGCGGGCGCGGTTCGCAGCAGGGCTGGGGACGCCGCAGGATTTGGATGAGGATGAGGAAGCGTTTGCCGCGGGAGAAGAGAGCGTCCTCGGGGACAGGGAGGCGTGGGTTGAGCAGCTTCCCGACGACTACCCAGAAACCGGCGACGACGGCACCGGCGCAGGCCCCTGCGGGCCCGGCGGGCTTTCGCCCTACGAACGCGCGGCGGCCATCGCCCTGACCGCGTCCGAGCGCGCGCCGCTGCTGCGGCGCCGTGCGGCGGCGACGCGCAACCCAGCAGACGCGGCCGCAGCGAGCCGTGCGGAGGCGACCGCGGCGCGGTGGGAGGCGCGGGCGGAGGGGCTGAAAAGAGAGGAGGATGCAGCGGACGGCGGCGGCGGCGGCGGCGGTGGGTGTGCGTTTTGGGAGGGCGTGGACTGGGGCACCCTGGAGGTCCGGGAGGTGGAGATCACGCCAGAGGTGAGCCGCCAGTGGCTGGGAGCCGCTGCATTGATGAGCGTTGGGTTGCCTCAAGGCTTTTGCTGGCGAGCGGCCGTGGCGAACTTGATTGTTTTGCATGCAACCTGTCGGGTGTGATGTTGTGTGGCTGCAGAGGCTTTGGCACTGCAAAACTTCACTCACAGCAACAGGTCCTGACACTCTGCTCCGGACTACGCTGGCCGTCTCCCCCCACCCCCGAAATCACCACCACCACCGACCACCATCACCACCACCACCGACCACCCACTCGCCCAGATGAGCGCCATCCTTGGGGCCGCGCACGACCTGGCGCTGCAGGACCCCAGCCTGGCGGTCAACCTGGACCAGAGCCAGCAGGGGGAGTGAGGGAATGCGACGATGGCGGGACGGGGCCAGCAGGGGCGGCAGGAGCGGCGGGGGCGGCAGGGTCGGCAGTTGTCAGGGACCAGGGGGAGCAAGGCAGGGGACAGCAGGAGACGCCGTGAAGACGGCCTGGGTATGGAGGGGTGCGAACGCACAGAGCAGGAGGGCGGCGAGGAGCCGGCGCTGCGGGTGGGTTAGCCGCACAGGCGTCTGCTGGGGGTCTGCCGGCCAGCAGAGGCTGCATGAGCCGGCCAACCGCCGGCGGCGGCGGGTTCAGCGGCGAGTGCAGTGACATGTGCAGCATGAGGCGCGGGGGGCAGCATGTATCAGCATTCGGGCCTGTCTGGGCCAGGAGGGCGCTCAGCAGCGGCAATGCGGATTTCCTGGGTGCCGGGGCTGCGGCGGCTGTCCCGCGCAGCAGGCCCGCCCCCAACCCCCAAAAGCGAAGAGACGAGCAGCAGGAGCGATGCAGCGGCGAAAGAGGACAGCATTGAGAACAGGCTGCGGCGTCAGGGCGTGGCGCCTTCCTTCAGGGCTCAGCGATGATGCCGGGTCAAACACAGCAACTCAATCAAGGCGCATCACATTGGTGGCTCCACGACAAACGAACAGCAACAGCAGCAACAGCAGCAACAGCAGCAACTGCAGCAACTGCAGCAGCAGCATGTACAGCAACAGCAACGGCAACAACAACAGCAACAGCAGGTGGCAGGATGTGGATCGGCGAGCTGGCAGGTCCTTGCAAAAGCACCAAGCGAATTTGTTGCACGCGCCTGCGCCTGTGCTTGCAGCTGCAGCTGCCGGTGGCTTGTGGCAGCAGGGGCGCAGCCTTGACCACGACTGCAATAGGCAGCGGAGATGTCGGGCGTGTTTGATGCTTTCAATCTTACACAAGATCACACGCATTTGGGTGGGGAGGGGTTCACAACCCCCAGTCAGCAGGAACAATTCGTATGCTTGCATGCCATTGCTAAGCCTTGTCCATGCTTATGAGGGCAGGGCGGCAAAATGAGCGCAGATCATATTCATTCAAGACAGGCAAGGACATGTACATGCTTGCCAGCAGGTGTTTTTGAAAAACCCCTCTTTGGTGGAGGTTTCATGCTTGCGTTCATGCATGCTTGTCAGCAGGTGTTTCAAACAACCCCACTTTGGTGCAGGTTGCATGCTTGCGTTTGTGCGGCTCTCCAGATGGCAAGCAGCAGGCTGCTTTGTATTGCTGCCATTGTATAGCCAACCTCCAGGATGTTGTCAGGAAGTTCTTGTAATTGCATTGATCGCGCTACAAAGGTACGTTGCAGCATGTATTCAGGTCTTGCAACATACACCAGGACACATGATGCTTAGCGGGCATATCAACATCCATACAGGCGTTCAGAGTGGCGAGGGAACCCCTGTTGCTTGATGTTCGCATCACTGTGCGGCAAGTGACAGACATGGGATGGTAAATTATTGAAGTGGCTATCATATGCCTGAATGGCAGCATGCATGCACAGCAATTACTTCTGGAACGAGGGTGAAAGGGTGGCACTGGCTGTGCGTCTAGCGGCTGTGAGCAGTCAGCTTTGATGGGATTCTTCCAGTGGGACGTCAGCATGAGCAAAGTTCCATTGGCCGTGTGATTTTGACAGCATCATCGGAACTCATGGGTGCTGCTGGGGCATATGTTTTGAACCAAACTTGCTGCAAGGATTGTGCTGTGGGGCCCTCGACCCAGTGCAGTTTGCACCACAGCAAGCACCCACCCTGGCAGCAGTGGGCACTGCCGGTGACGTGACTGACATGTAGGTCACAGCAGCAGCCGCTGTGGTGTCGCAGAGGTATCACCACTTACGTATTGATGTCTAGCTGTGTATGCGCCCGCTTCTGCAGCAAGGCTGGCCGAGCTGGAGATCAAGCTCTTCGTATCAGGACCGCATGAAGGCCCGTATGCACTAAATGATTTTTTGACTAGCCTGAAAACAAACTAGTAGCCAATCCACCCGTCACAGCTTTGCCCATTGGCGGCGGCGGCAAGAAACCGCTGCTTGCACCACGCCACTCTGCAACCTTGAGGTGCCCGGACACGATCCTGCCAGAGGGCTGGCAGCAGCGCCAGGCGCGCAGCTGCAACCTACGGTGTGAATGTCGGTGGCGGCGCGCAAGGCAGAGGCGGACGAGCTCTTCCGTGCGGGCCGGCACCAAGAGGCGGTGCTCGCGTATGGCGGGGCGCTCTCACTCGCAGAGGAGCGGCGGGACGCGTCCCTGCTGCACCTGCTGTATGCGAACAGGTGAGGCTGGGCCTGTGATCTCACACATTTTCAGTACATCGGCCTAGGCAGGGCGCTTGCCCGGCCCGCTCCGCCTGGCTCAAGCTGTGGTTGACGGCATCGCACCAGCACCCCATCAGCACCTGTGCCCTCTTGGCTGCGTCTCCCTCACATTTAGGGCTGCGGCGCTCCTGGCGCTCAAAGAATGGCAGGCGGCGCTGGCTGACGCGCTGTCCAGCGTGGCGGTTGATGACTCGTGAGCAGGCCTCGGGGCCCTCTGGGGGTTGCGGGGCATTGGTGGCGGAGGGCAGTGCTTGCAGCAGCAGATGAATTACAGGCACTGGGGGATTGGTGGCGTCAACCCTGGTCCGGGTGCAAGCTGGGATCTCGTCGTTCAATTGAGCTCGGACTAGTCTGAAATCAATCTACGTTGTTACAGCTGGCAGACCACATTGTCAAGGCGGCTGCTGCCTTGATAGAAGATAGCGGTCAACACGCGCTGCACCCCACTGATACCTGCGGCTTTGGAGACCCCACCCGCAAAATCCTGTACTCTAACGCACGGCCTGGCAGTGCACAACACCAACAAACTCCTAACTCCATCCGCGCAGCTACGCCAAGGGCCACTATCGAGCCGCAGTCGCACTGCAAAAGCTCGGCCGAGCCCCAGACGCCCTCCGCCACGCCGCACGCGCCGCCGCGCTTGACTCCGCGAGCCGCGACGCAGCGGCGCTGCTGCTGCGCCTCCAGGCCGGGAGCACAGCCCCTGGGCCGGGCGCGGCATCCTCCAGCGGCGAGCAACAGCAGCAGCGGGCAGGCGCGGCGGGTGCCGTGGGCGTGAAATCGGGCGCCCGCGTCGGAGCCGGTGCTGGGCCGCTGACACAGGCACGGGCGCTCGCGCTGGTGCCGGTGGCGATGCGGGGCGGCAGTCGGTATGTGGCGTCGAGGGATGGCGGTGACGCCAACGTGTTGGTGTTGTGCCATGGCCTTGGGGACAAGCCTGACCGGTTTGCAGGTGAGCGGAGTCCAGCGATGGGAGGTTGCGGCAACGCACGCGCCAAGGCAGGGGTTGCTGGTAGATGAGAGAGACAGGAGCCCGTGGTTGCTGGAGGCGTGAGCATTATTTTTAAGCAAGGCGCCAGCCATCTTCCCAGCTGCACACACCCCCACGTGTCATCAGACCCCCCTGTCCTCCCATCAGCCCCTTCGCATGTCGCTTCCGCTCCACCTGTGCCGCTCACGATCCGCTCACACACACCCTGGTCCCTGCTCAATTTCTTCACAACCCTCATTATCCCCAAATCCCCACACCCCCACAAACCTTTTAAATCCCACAACCCCCGCAACCCTCAACCCCCACAAACCCGCAGCGCTGGCGCAGCACATGGCCCTGCCCCAGACCACAGCCCTCGCCCTGGCTGGGCGCCTCGAAATTCCGATGAGCGACGGCGGCCGTGCCTGGTTCACGGCCTTTGACGAGGAATTCAACCTCATAGCCCCAAGCCCCAATGAGACCCGCCGGGCAGCGTCGCTGGCCGAAACTGTAGAGCTGATCTTGCCCTTGCTGGCAGCCCTCTCTGGCAGCGACGGTGCAGAGGAGAGCGGTGGTGCGGCAGCTGTGGAAGAGGGGCTGCAGCGAGCCCCGCGGCGGCGCGTCCATCTGTTTGGGTTCAGCCAGGGCGGGACCGTCGTTCTGGAGATTGCGCGGCGACTCTGCGGTGGCAGCTGGGCGGATGCGGTTGCGGACAGCGGTGGCGGCGGCGGTGGCAGCGGCACTGGGTCGGCTGGGTGCCGTGCGCCAGCGTGGCTGGGCAGCGTGGTGGCGGTGTCGGCATCACTGCTGGAGGAGCGGCTGCCTGCTCTGGAAAGGGAGCAGCGGGGTCGGGACGGGGCGGCGGCCGCAGGCGGCGTGGCTGGTGCGCAGGCATCGGTGGCGGGAGCAGCGGGTGGCTTCATGCCGCGCGCCGTGCCTGTGCTGATTACTCATGGAGACAGGGATGAGGTGGTGCCCAGGAAGGCAGTGGAAAGGTGGGTCAATGCACCACCGCTGCGTGCTGGACAGCTTTTGTGATTGTGTTTGTGTGTTGGGGGGCGGGGGAGGGGTTGCCGTGTGTGGCCGTGGCATCGCCTTGCTTCCTGTCTCAGGTCTGCAGCAGTTGCTGCGCTTGACCCGCCTTCTCACTGACTGCCTTGAGCTCAAGCCTGCGGACGGCGGGGCTGCGGCCGCGTCCATCCAATTGCCACGTCTCCTTTGTTACTGGCCTCAAACACACCACATAGCACGTCGGCGCCACCACCCCCCCTGAACACAATCATTTCGGCCCCAACGATCATCCCCGCTCCCCGCACAAACCTCGCCTCAGGTCGGCGGCCCTGCTGCGGGAGGCCGGTTGCGACGTGTCACTGCATCGTGTCGCGGGCAAGGGTCACGCCATGGTGGGGCCAGACAAAGCGGAGGCGGGGGCGCTGCTGCAGTTCTACGGCGGGGCCCTGGCGGCCGCGCCTCCAGGGGAGGGGTTTGTCGAGGTGGTGGCCCCTGCCGGCTCGGTCGGCGGAGGGGGTTGAGGGAGGGAAGGGCGAAAGGATTTTGTGCTGTTGTGAGCGTTTACTAAATTCCAGAGTGACTAGGTGTTGAGATCGTATCAAATCTTGTCCAGGTGAATGCTGACAAGGATGGTCAGAACATGATTATCGGAGCGTTGTGTGTGCACCTGAATTTTTTCCGGGTACCCACACATGAGGATACCCGTATGCTCATATGTGATAACATCCCAACCGTCTGGTGCCCCAGCCAGCTGTCAAGCATTCCGCTTTGGATCTTTTGCGCATACGCCGGCCCTGCCGAGGTGGCAGCAGCAAGTCGCGTAGAAAATGCGAGGCATGACACCTACTCTCAATACGATGCATACTAACATGAATCAGGCATGTTGCCAAGGACCGCCCCAAAAATAGTAGATAGAGCCGTTCAAAGAAAACCGCCGGAGCCCCCACCGTCAGCTGGCGCCAACCGCCTTGCTGTCGCACTTAATCGAAAGTAACTCGACGGGGAGGGCCGTGGCCAGATAAGCTCCAATCATCTGCTCGCCACGTCCACTTACGCACAATGTGGGGCGCAGTCCCCAGCCCGTCAGCGAGCAATTCGCACTCTTGACTGCTGAACTTGCGGTGGAGCCGCACCGGACAACGAAACTAGAAGCAAATTGTTGAGACGGAATTTGTGCCTCATCTGTGCAGCGCATCGCTTCTGACAGGCCCCGCGTTCCGGGCCCTGAGCAAAGAGATCCACGCTGGCACACCGTCACCGTGCACCAGCCCTGCATCCGGATTGGCCGCATAGATCGTGACTTTGTCGAATTTGAAGCCAGTGCGGCCGCGCATCTTCGGCACCGGCACTCTGACAACGCCTGCACACAACCGCGCAGCAATGAACGCGTCCGTGCAGCGCATAACGAGCAGCCAAAGCCTTCCGGCTCAATGGAACCGGCCGGCGGTGCGTCGCCGGCTGGTGCCAGCTGCTGCGACCGCTGCACCCGGCCTGCTGCCGCTGCAGCAGCGGCCTCGCGCGCTTGCCGCGCCCATTATCAGCAGCTGCGCAGCGGCCTCAGACAGCAAGCGGCGAGGGCTTGTGGCTTGCGACGCGGCAGCTGATGCATCGCTGCCGCTCTCGGAATCCGCCCCGGCTGGTGAGACTCCCTTGCAGAGCGGCTTGACCCCCTGCCGGCCTGCATGGATGCATGCCCGTCCTTCTCTATTACTGCGCCGCATGCAGCTGCCTTCTGTTGCCTGGCCGCTCCCGGCCCACCCCCGCCTGACCTCAACCCCGCAGCCGCACAGCCCAGCGGGTTCTGGAAGGCGATCGCCAACGTGCGGGCGCTGCTGTTTGCGGCCTGGACGTTCACGCTGGCGGTGCCGCTGTTTATAATAATGGTCGTCATGTCACCCGTGGTGCTGCTCACCGACAAGTTCAGGTGGGGCGTGCTTGCAACGCCCTGGTTTGTCTTCATTTGTATAGGGTGTGGGTCAGGTCTGAGCACATCACTGACTGGAGACACCTGCAAATGATGTGTGCAGCATGGTGGTGTGTTGTTGTTGGCCGTTACGAATTGTGGTGATGCTGCAGAGGAGCCCAGCAGGGTGGGCTGTGGGTTAGGCCCGAGGCTGCAAGTTGGTGGGTAGTTGCGGCGGGAATCATTTAGAAACCACTGAAGGCAGTCAATGCTGATGACCGCATTAGTCAAAGACAAAGCAATCGGAAGGGATGCGAGGGGGCACGCAGGGGGATGGCGGGCCGGATCAAGAATTGTCCTGCAGGTTGCGGCCGCAGTCCTGTTGAGGCGCGGCAGCAAAAAGCGGCAGGACCGGTCGGCGCAAAGTAGCATGCAGCGTTTATGCAGGGGCGGGACCACCAGCGCAGCCGCAGCACGCGGGCCCGCCTGCAGTACGACCCTGATGCTTGAGGCACCGCACAGCGGCAACGCCTATGCTTGTGCTCAGGCGCGGGGTCCACCACGCCTCCTTGCTTTCACTGTTATGAAATGTATGAAATGCATTTTACGCCCGCCCCAAACGACCGCGCCACCCCCAGGCGCCTGGCGCAGCACTTTGTCAACAACCTGTGGGCCATCGCCAGCACCGTCCCCTTTTACGGCGTGACCATCAAGGGGGCTGAGAACCTGCCTGCGGCGTCGTCGCCGGCTGTCTACGTGGCCAACCACCAGAGCTTCATGGTGGGCTGGGTTGGGATGTGCTTTTGTGTCGGGTGTGTGGGCGTATGCATGCACTATGTGTTTTCTGTTTGCGATTGAGTATGGAGGCTCGCAGGTCGCAGGAATCATCGCAGAGACCTGTCTGTGTGCGCTCTCAATCTGCAGGGGGTTGCACCCCTTGAAGACCCGCAGTAGCTGCAGATGGGCGTCTTGCATCTCCCGTTCAAAGCCGCTGCTGCGCCCGGCTGGCCTTCCCCCCCTTCCCTTCCCTCCCCCCCCCCCCCACAGGACATTTACTCCCTGTTCCACCTGCAGCGGCCCTTCAAGTTCATCAGCAAGACCTCAAACTTCCTCATACCCATAGTGGGGTGGTCAATGTTTATGACAGGTGGGGATCATGAGGGCGGGATAGTGTGATGTCATCATAGTGTTTTGGGGGGCGGGGGGTCGCGCAGGTGCTGGGAGAACAGGCTGGCGCTGATGTTGCTTGCATTTGAGTACAACGCCAATCTGCTAGAAGCATGTCATCGTTGGCTCGGCCCCTGCCAGCGCCCGTGCGTGCCGTCAACCCTTTCCCCCGCTCGTGCCTTGCCCAACCGCGCCTGGCCCCGGCGTCGCCCCAGGCCACGTGATGCTGAACCGCGTGGACCGCCGCAGCCAGCTCAAGTGCCTGCAGACCTGCATAGAGCTGCTGGGACAGGTGCGCGTGTGGTTGCACGTTGTTGTGTGTGTGGGGTGGGGGGAGGGAGGAGGGGTGTGGGGGTGCGCTGCAGGGCGGAGGCATGCCTGGCGCGTTTATGTGGCTACTCACAGCTTAGTCCGACCGGCGGTGCCTTCATGCATGCGCGTGCAAACACTCGAGTGAATGTCACGAGCATCCCTTGTGATACC